GAGCGCGACACATTCTATTACTTGTTGTTACCAGCGGAATTGCCTGCGTTCAATCGAAAGTATTTGGTGAAAGAATGTGAACCGCGCTAGAATAAAGGTGAGCTTCAGCCTTTAACTGTTTCAGTAACTGCAATTTATTTAAAAATGTGCAGTCACGGCCATTGATACAATTTTTTAGAGCTGCTGCTCATAAATCTGCTCATAAATCTTCCTGCCATTGAAACTTGTCTAAGCTGCAGATATTGAGAATATTTACAGCTTTAGCCGTAATCCATGTTTGTTTAGATGTACTTTATCGATAACATTTTACGGTTGCTTACCCTGCAGCCTGCGATATCTGTTACTGCTATAACTTGTTACAGCTTACAGAAGCTACTTGTGCTACGACTGGCTGTAGCTGCACGGCACTGCAACTCTATAACTGTTGTGGCCTCTGTTTCTTGTTACAACTGCTTCTTGTACAACTGCCAGATTTTGCTACATTTGCAGCTGATGCTGTTCTTAACAACAACAACAACTGCGAAGTAATACAGCTACAGCCAGTGTAAGATTTTACAGCTGCTACTACTCTCACTTATTATAACTGCTACCTTTACATTTAATTACAACTGCATTCACTCAAATGTGTTACAGCTGTTTACTAGATTATTCATTATAATACATCTGTAGTAAATATAGGTGTTTAAGTTTGAAGCTGCGGTCACTAAAACTTGTTGCTGCTTCTGCCGTTACAACTTGTTGCAGCTGCCATCGCTACAACTTGTTGCAGCTGCCACCGCTACAACTTGTTGCAGCTGCCACCGCTACAACTTGTTGCAGCTGCCACCGCTACAACTTGTTGCAGCTGCCANGAGGGTTATTGTGGTGATGCTGTCTCTTATACACATCTAGATGTGTATAAGAGACAGGTCATAGACAGTAGAGAGGGTGAGGTGCATTTTGTGCTGTCATAGACAGTAGAGAGGGTGAGGTGCATTTTGTGCTGTCATAGACAGTAGAGAGGTTGAGGTGCATTTTGTGCTGTAATAGACAGTAGAGAGGGTGAGGTTCATTTTGTGCTGTCAAGACAGTAGAGAGGATGAGGTGCATTTTGTGCTGTCATAGACAGTAGAGAGGATGAGGTGCATTTTGTGCTGTCATAGACAGTAGAGAGGATGAGGTTCATTTTGTGCCGGAGTGAATGCAATATTAAAAAGTTAATTCCAACTTTTTATCGACGCTGAATTCAATAATATCAAATATCAATACAGACCAATTCGAGATGTTTATTACATTTAATAACTCATTGTGTCGTATTAACTTTTGCACGAAAGAACATGCAAATTCCCAGCGCAGGAGAATAAATTAATATTTTATTCAGGTTAAATATCCAAAATTCTTGATAAAATTAACCAGGAATTAAAACAAAATTTTTTTTAGCTTGTATATCCTCCTTCACATTCACGGCAAGCCCTCGCTTGCGTAAACATTCGTCGTGAATGGGAAACTTGTACTCTAGTTTATTTATATCACTCATAAATTCACATATTTCCGTACATATAACTTATAAACTCAAATATATTCGAGTTTTTCTCAATATATAGCCGGACAGGATTGGTAACATTACCGGACAAGGGTTAGAAATCCGGACAAAATTTGCGTCCGGTTTATGTACTCTGTAATTAGTTTACGTTTAAAACCCGGTTTCAAGAATAAATGAACTACATTAACCGGACATTCTAAAAGCGCCAACCTCGTTATGTTAGAGGTTGGGTTAAGTGCGTATAAAACATTTATTTACGTTGCTAGAGACCTTCGTACAGGGGTTAGGTCCAGCCAGGTCAAGTTCTTCATTTTACATTTTTTTTACAATTTTGTTATGGATATTGCGTAAATAATAGTCATGTCCTGATAAGTGTAGTTTTAACAATATATATAACATTTAAATATCACTATAAATGTTATATATATTGTCACCTCACTCATCATACACATCACCCCACCCATCACACACCCACTCATCTTATCTCAAGGTGAACATGAGTGCCGCTCATTCACCCAATTATTACGGGTGAGGCGGCCCAGGCTTTGTATTCACCCGTCGTCTTAACTCGTGGGGGATGAGTCAGCAGCTTCCTGGTACTCACCCCACGGGTGACATGCTCGTCACTCACCCCACGGGTGACATGTCCGTCACTCACCCCACGGGTGACACGTTGGTCAGCGTCTGGGCGCGCTGGACGTAGGCATGGGCTCAGTGCAAAGAATTCAACTTCTGAATACTTGAGCCTCAAAAAAAAATATTTTGCCAAGCTTTGTTATAAAGTAAAGAGCTAAATGATTGATAAACGCTTCGTTACTCCGTGTTGCACACATCACACTATCCTGCAGCACACATCACACTATCCTGCACCACACATCACACTATCCTGCACCACACATCACACTATCTTGCACCACACATAGCTCTATATTGTAGCAAGCATCACATTATTTTACACCATACATCACGCTGTAATAAATACTTGTTTAACTCTTCATCAGTTCGTAGTCTGGTTCCTAAAATAACATTTCTCAAGTTTCAGCATCAAGATCGGGTTTCGTGGATCTTATTCACCATGCTTCAGATGCGCGCTGTTAATTAGGACAAAAAAAATCAGTTTCAGATTCGTTTGGCTATAACAAAATTCTTTGCAAATTCCGAAGAAGTACGAGACCTCTCAGTGAAGTTTACACAATCTCCGCTACGCACACAACTTCTCACACCAACGGCCAGCGCCGCACTGAGTGCCACAATGCCCACCGTACCTGCCATGGGGGGAGGGGAGGGGGTTATAGTACCCATACATGGGTTAATTCTAACACTGTGATCTCTGGGAGGGGGGGGGAGGGGTGAAGCTATAGTGCCCATACATGGGTTAATTCTAACACTGTGATCTCTGGGAGGAGGGGGGAGGGGTGAAGCTATAGTGCCCATATATGGGTTAGTTAAAAGTAAAGTAAAGCAGCTAAAGTAAAGCACGTCTCTCTGTCTGACATCTCAGTGTATGGGGGAATCAGGTCCCATACCTTCAAGAAAGTTAAGAGATCGTAAGTTCATCAGCCAATCATTGACGGCCTTTCAAGCCAAATCCACCAATCATAGACGAGAAAATAGAGCGTAAGTACTTACGTTAACATGGCGAATTTTGAAAGTATGGCCCCAGGAGCGTATTTAGGACGTGTATTTGGGTGTGTGGTAGATACCCACATGACAGATGCTAACATGGCAACCTCCCACATGACGAGTGCCGACATGAAGGTCTCCAACATATATGACACCAACATGAGTAACACTCGAGTACAGTATTATACACAATAACCCTCATATATATGATATATAACCCTCAATAACGTATATATATCCACCATATCCACGCTCCACATGATGCCCTCTCAGCAACGGAGGACATTAGCAAACATGTTCTTAGCGCATTTTCTCATTTATGGAAAAAATGCCCTATTGTGCTCGCCATGTCCGTCCGTCCGTCTGTCTGCCTTTCCATCCGTCCGTCCGTCTGTCTGCCTTTCCATCCGTCCGTCCGTCTGTCTGCCTTTCCATCCGTCCGTCCGTCCGTGACCTCACGTTTTCGTCGACGAGAAAATGTGCTCCCTGTCACTCACTGCAGCGAGTACTGAGTTATATATATATTTTTTTCTGGCAGTACGTACAACATCGGTGAGATGTTACGACGCCAGCATTAACTAGGCGTACGCGAGATCTCAACTTATCCCGCACTAGTACACCAGGGCCTATACTTTCAAAAACTCGCTAAGTGAACGTAAGTACTTACGCTCTATATTTTTTTTTGTCTATGATTTGTGGATTTTGCTTGAATGGCCATCAATGATTGGCTGATGAACTTACGATCTCTTAACTTTTTTTGAAAGTATAGGCCCAGCTATGTCGCACTCCAAGCGCTTCGACACAGACAGGAGGCTATATATAACCGTGCATTAAGCCTTCATTCAACAACTAGTAAGATTAACAATTTGTGTATTGAGTTTAAGTCTCCAATGCAAGCTTCGTAGGTGATCTGCATGAAAGATGAAACTTATTACTGACACATATCACACAAAAGAATTGTGACTAAAACGCACAGTATAACATAGAAAAAATTTCCCGGCTATTAATTAAAATCACTCAATGTGAAGTTTGCACAAATAAATTCAAGTCTGTAAAATTAAATACATAGAGGGTTGATCCTACTATAAATCTCAAGTGATTGAGTACAGACTACAAATCTGTACAATGTGGTAGCGCGGACCGAGAAAACAGTAACAATGGCTATTATTCTGCTCTTCAGGATTAATCCAACAACATAGCTGATTTATTGCTTGCCTGATTTATTTTGCTTAAAAACATAATATGGAATGCATTCTTAAAATGCATAATTTAAGAATTCATTTTATATCCTCTTGCACATCGTGAAAATTTGATATTGCATTTTATGCCTGCAACCAAAGCGAGCTCGTTGTCATGGCAACGCGCGTTGCTAAGCAACATCAGGTCCAGCGTCCCTAGCAACGCCGCGGCCCGCAGTTGAGTGATGGACGGGTATTGTGGTGCTGCGAGTTCCAGATTCCAGGAATTTTTATTGCAAATTAATTCCTGCCATTGTGTGGAACGCTGAAACAAAGCATTTGCAGGGAAATTTTTTGTTAAGTGGATATTAGCTGGAGGCTGGAGAGGGCGAGTGCTGGGCGCTCTGAAGGCCTTTTGTGCGTTGAGAAAATTTCTAGTAATTGTTTTCGGCCTCAAAATCTGTACGCCGTTCTTATGTCGAACATTATTCATAATTATAGGCTGAAATTCTTGAAAATAACTGCTTTCTTTTTTGGTTCAGTTACGGGTCCTCAGTTCCTGCTCGATTATTGATCATTGAAAGCCCACGTGTTTCACTGAATTTGTTTTTTTGTCACTGCCATCAATGTTTATCAGACTAAAATCAATATTAATCATTAAGAAATTTTGAATATAAAAATGCCGTCGCAGAACTCAGCTGTCGCAGCAGGCGACGAGCAGCTGCAGCAGATGGAGCTGCTTGGTGCCATAGGCTTCTCAGGTGACTGCCCATGGTAGTCCTAGATTTTCTAGTTGTCAACATGAACATAAACTGCGCATACTGTCTACAAGTCTCTACCATACATATATTCATAGTCAGGTCTATTTTAAATAAACTACTCGTTGCCCTCAGGGGAGGTACGTCATGCTCTCCATCTCCTACCCTCTGGGGAGATCATCTTCCCTTTGGGGGCAGGAGTTTGCATCCGCCAGGGGATGGTTGGCAGAGTGGAACAAACTGCTGAGGGGAAGATTGAGACGGAACTTCAACACGACCTCCTTAGAACGGGAGCATCAGCAGCACGCTCAACTGGATCGTCGAGCTCAATAAACAACAGTATTAGTAACGGAAGCAAAAACAGTAACAATAACAGTAACAATAACGGAAGCAACAACAGTAACAACAACAAACACAACGAATCACTTCGTACGAAGTCGAATCTCAGTGGGACCTCTCACGAGAAGCATCGCACTGAGGCGAGGAGCCGTGAAGTCACAGGAAGACCACGCCGGGGATCTGATAAATCCAGTAAGACCGACTCGTCTCTATCACATGTCCAGGACTCGCTGGACAGCGAATATTTGGCACAGGGTTTGCAGAGACGAACGCAGCAGCGCGGTTGTGGTGTGGTGGGGGTACGGCAGCTGGAGGAACTCTACCGCTCCATGCCCTCTGTCAACTTTGACGCCATTGCGAAGGCTACCCGAAGCGTCAGCACTCGCGTCGGAGTGGGTAGCAGTTCGTCGGTGGAATCTCTACCTCCTGTCCAAGATAAGAGTCATCAAAAGTCAACTAATGGCAGTGAAGACCTTTCCGGTGGGACGAAACACCAAGAGCCTGTTGGTGGGGGTGGTCGAAGATCTAGTACCAATGAAGTGATAGGCTACCAGCACTCAATCGGTAACGATGTCCAGACTGGAAACATTGACAGCTTTCGTAAAGAGAGTCCAAGTTACAATCAAGATGGCAGCGGAGGCAGGTTTACACAGAAAGCGCATAATCACTTTTTGCGTCGACATGAAATCTTGAGCGGCCATAAGTCGCGTGTGACTGCGCTGGCGGTCTCGGCCGACGGAAGCATCATAGTTTCAGCGGAAGAAGGGCAGCCGGCCGGTCAGGTGAGACGATTGTAACCATGCAAATTCGCAGTATCTTTCACTGCATCTGTATTGCTTTTTTTATCGAGTATTGCATGGGATCTAAATCTTGAAAATTTTAACATATGCTGGTCGTGTTCCTTAATTTGGTTGCGGTGCGTTTGTTGTCTCATGCTTAGTGTAATCAAAAGTATATTCGGACTTTCCTTTTTTTCAGTTACAGAAAAAAATTCGCTTCGAGAGACGGACAGCTTCAGTTTTTTCTGCAAGAAAGTTAATGTTGAACTACATGATACATTAATTTTAATTGCTTGATATCATAAATTGAACTTTTGACACGTTGAACTATGTGAGCGCTACGCAGAAGTACAAGCAAAAGCCTCGTGACTTTGCATTAAAAATTAGACGGAGTGACGCACGGTCGCTCGGAATCCTTGAGGTGCGATCCTGCCATCGATCAGCGACGTGGATTTCACACAGCGAACAAAATCGACGCGGACGCAAAATATACGATCTTCTCTTGGCCAAACTTGAGCCGTTGCGATGAACATTTTTTCCAAGGGCAGGAGGGTTGCTGAGATTTGATGTGTTTACGGCATCAAATACCAGACGAATGCTAAACTCAAAACTCAGAAACGAAATTTTACACGGTTGTATCATGTGTACCTCATAGTCGCATACACACATCTGATATTGCCAAAAAATTTAAGCGAAAGATTTTCCTGGGAAAACAATTGCGTCTTCGATGAACGGGTAGAATGAATTGACGCGCGTTGAACAAAGGTTGAAATAAACTGGTCCCATTTTCCGATTTGTTACAATGCATCGACGCGCGTTGAACAAAGGTTGAAATAAACTGGTCTCATTTTCCGATTTGTTTAATGTTTCTTTGTCTTTGGTGAATTGCCGCTTGCATTCTTGATAGCAGACAAACCTGCTCTTGCCTCCTCCGCAGCCTTACAAGTCCACCCGCCTTAATTGCCGGCGAGCGCTGCGCCACTCCTGTGTGGCGGGAATTTTTTTCATGCTTGGACATCGATAAGAGTTTTTTGTGCCTCAAATGCAGCCAGATTAGTACAACTAATGAATACAAGATTAAATCAGGATATGATTGTGTTCATGACAGGACACCGTGTCCTTGCTAATTAAAATTGCAACTAAACTAATCGGGAGATAATCATATTGGTTGCAGTGCAAAGAGTCGAGAAACTACAACCAAATACGCGCACTTTAATCACATGAAAAAAATATAATTACGGTCGTGACGTGTGCCGCACACGTTTTATGCTGAACATGAAGTCTATTAAAGGTACCTCACTTTGCAAGAGCATGTTTACTTATATTGAAAAACTGATATTTGAGAAATGCATGCTTGTCCATCATGTTTCTCTGCGTGTCCCGAGTCAGGATGCCGAGGTATGAGGGTGGCAGCTCCACTCCCTGAGCAAGAATCTCTCAGAAGAAACATAAGAAAAGACGAACGCCGTTCAAGGATTTAGTTAATTGCGGCTGAACTGCACTCAAGTGGCGCATGGACCGGGAGATCAAAAACTGCGTTCAACTGCGACTCTCGGGGTCAATACGAGGCCACGCGCTGTGGTATTCAGGGCCTATACTTTCAAAAAAAAGTTAAGAGATCGTAAGTTCATCAGCCAATCATTGACGGCCTTTCAAGCAAAATCCACCAATCATAGACAAGAAAATAGAGCGTAAGTACTTACGTTCACTTAACGAGTTTTGAAAGTATGGCTCAGAATTTTATGCACGTCAGTCTCTAGTGTATAGTGTATATTGCAGCTAGTCTGCACTAATACGCCTGAATTGTTGTGCAATACACATCGCCGGACCACACACAGCGCTGCCCATGCGGAGCGAAATATTCCCTCGCGTGTGAGACATGATTTTACCATGCCCAGATTGGCCCAGCTATTCTCATGCATGAAATAGACCTGGTATCCTACAACTGAAATAGGCTAGATTTCTTTACAAACCGAAGTAAAAGCCTCGATTTGATCATTTATGAAAAATGCATAAAAATCATCATAAACGAGTAGAAAAGATGTTCCAAAATTATTATCTTGTTTCAGGCAGCAACATATAGATAATGAAAAGCCCTAATTTCATAACAAATGAAGCAGACCTAAACTTCACCAAAACCAAAACGGGTCAATATTACAGTCTGAACAGGTCCCAAAATCATTGCTACTAAAGCCGGCCGTATGACGAGGGCAATAGAAACGGAACCCAACGTCAACACAACCGATGCGGGCCCTGTATCATCATAACCAATACGGGGCAATGTCATCATAACCAATACGGGCTAATATCATCATAACCAATACTGGCTAATTACATCATATCAGAAACGGTCCAATATCATCATAACCCGAAAGCGCAGTCAAAGTAGACCACAATATCGTCACGACAATATCAATTAGCAAAAATTTACCCCTAAATCATAAAACTGACCAAAATGAGATATGTTTGGCTTTTTATCAGAAATGACCAAAAAAATATCTGTGATAGGTGCCCGTTGAGCCAAAAATTATTTTTTGCCAGTCTTCTAGGCTACGTGGTCCCGTTTTCTTGGCCCATCATAGATCCCGGACCACAAATGAGGCCTTGGGCCCGATATCGTCCGGCAGGACCCACGCGCTGCCCGCCGACAGTGCGATTACAGCTGAGAAATATCGGGCCACGAGGCGGCCTGCGGGAGCGAATGTCGGATAATTGTGATTCTTCTGTGCATATTGGAGAGTAGCGCTGCCGGTGATGTTTTGCGAGGGTTATTGTGGTGATGTAAAAACTTTCATAAGATCAGCTCCATTATCAGTTCAAAAATTAGAGAACACATGTAAAATTAGCATGGAAATTTAAATTAGAAGAAAGGGATAAGGATTTAGGAAAGGAAAAAAAGATGGACGACAGAACATAAAAATCGATCGATTAACAATTTCAAGAGAATAGAATCTGTACGCACTATCGAGGCAAGTCATCTGTTTGGATTTTGGAATAGCTACATACTTTTAGACAAAATCCTTATCGCAATTAGGCTAAAAGTTTTTATACACTTGAAATTGTTGATCGATAGTTTTGATAGGTTTTATATTCCTTAGTTCGTGTTGAGGGTACATAGGTTTTAAATTGATCGTTTAAATTTGGCTACTCTACGTTGATTGTACGTGTGTTTTCTTAATATTTGAACTGATGCAAATGTCAGAAACTTTTTTGATGAAAATGCAATGAATTTACTTGATTTTCTATTTATTTCAAATTTTAGGTGAATTCGCTATTTAAGCAGACTAGTGATATAAGAATTGGTTGAAAATTTCTTATATGTAGACAATATCATGTACTATATTGCAATCACTATGAATTAATCGTGTAACAAGTAGGGTAGAATCTGTCTCTTATACACATCTAGATGTGTATAAGAGACAGCAATAACCCTTACATCACCACAATAACCCTCACATCACCACAATAACCCTCACATCACCACAATAACCCTCACATCNAGAAGTGGTGTTGTCTTGTAACAATAACAATAAGAAGTGGTGTTGTCTTGTAACAATAACAATAAGAAGTGGTGTTGTCTTGTAACAATAACAATAAGAAGTGGTGTTGTCTTGTAACAATAACAATAAGAAGTGGTGTTGTCTTGTAACAATAACAATAAGAAGTGGTGTTGTCTTGTAACAATAACAATAAGAAGTGGTGTTGTCTTGTAACAATAACAATAAGAAGTGGTGTTGTCTTGTAACAATAACAATAAGAAGTGGTGTTGTCTTGTAACAATAACAATAAGAAGTGGTGTTGTCTTGTAACAATAACAATAAGAAGTGGTGTTGTCTTGTAACAATAACAATAAGAAGTGGTGTTGTCTTGTAACAATAACAATAAGAAGTGGTGTTGTCTTGTAACAATAACAATAAGAAGTGGTGTTGTCTTGTAACAATAACAATAAGAAGTGGTGTTGTCTTGTAACAATAACAATAAGAAGTGGTGTTGTCTTGTAACAATAACAATAAGAAGTGGTGTTGTCTTGTAACAATAACAATAAGAAGTGGTGTTGTCTTGTAACAATAACAATAAGAAGTGGTGTTGTCTTGTAACAATAACAATAAGAAGTGGTGTTGTCTTGTAACAATAACAATAAGAAGTGGTGTTGTCTTGTAACAATAACAATAAGAAGTGGTGTTGTCTTGTAACAATAACAATAAGAAGTGGTGTTGTCTTGTAACAATAACAATAAGAAGTGGTGTTGTCTTGTAACAATAACAATAAGAAGTGGTGTTGTCTTGTAACAATAACAATAAGAAGTGGTGTTGTCTTGTAACAATAACAATAAGAAGTGGTGTTGTCTTGTAACAATAACAATAAGAAGTGGTGTTGTCTTGTAACAATAACAATAAGAAGTGGTGTTGTCTTGTAACAATAACAATAAGAAGTGGTGTTGTCTTGTAACAATAACAATAAGAAGTGGTGTTGTCTTGTAACAATAACAATAAGAAGTGATGTTGTCTTGTAACAATAACAATGAGAAGTGGTGTTGTCTTTTAACAATAACAATGAGAAGTGGTGTTGTCTTGTAACAATAACAATAAGAAGTGGTGTTGTCTTGTAAGAATAACAATAAGAAGTGGTGTTGTCTTGTAGCAATAACAATAAGAAGTGGTGTTGTCTTGTAGCAATAACAATAAGAAGTGGTGTTGTCTTGTAACAATAACAATAAGAAGAAGTTATGTTGTCTTGTAGCAATAACTATCTCCGGTTAGCAGAGCAAATTTAAAAAATTCGTCATTCATAATCGTCTATTTGTACATTGATCCTAGGTTACCTTTATTAAACCAATTTTTCTGATTTGGCATTTAGTAATAAAAATTTGGCATTTAAAGTTAAAAAGTTTAAAGTTAGAAAGTTTTTAAAAAGTTTAAGTTAGAAAGAAAAAGTGGTCATTTAAAGTTAGGGGTTCTATAGAGCGGACCTTTAATTAGAAGTCACTTATTATATAGGGTTGTGAATAGCTTGTATTCAAGGGCGTTACAATACTAAAATTAGTCCGCTTATTTTTCTATTTCAAATCTTCAATATTATATAGATCAATGAATAGACTAATTTATTATTTGAGTTACAGCGAGCATCTGTTTCAAGTTTGCCGGAACATTTAAAAAGCGGCAAATTTTCACGGCACCGCCGTCCGTGTATCTNATTTGTACATTGATCCTAGGTTACCTTTATTAAACCAATTTTTCTGATTTGGCATTTAGTAATAAAAATTTGGCATTTAAAGTTAAAAAGTTTAAAGTTAGAAAGTTTTTAAAAAGTTTAAGTTAGAAAGAAAAAGTGGTCATTTAAAGTTAGGGGTTCTATAGAGCGGACCTTTAATTAGAAGTCACTTATTATATAGGGTTGTGAATAGCTTGTATTCAAGGGCGTTACAATACTAAAATTAGTCCGCTTATTTTTCTATTTCAAATCTTCAATATTATATAGATCAATGAATAGACTAATTTATTATTTGAGTTACAGCGAGCATCTGTTTAAAGTTTGCCGGAACATCTAAAAAGCGGCAAATTTTCACGGCACCGCCGTCCGTGTATCTACGTATTTTATTTTACCCTTTTTCTCCATGTTTTGGTGTGTATGATTGACGTTTGCATTTCAATTCATTTTTTTTGGCTTTTTCAAAACTATTTCTCTACCTGTGGAAGTTGGATATAGGTTAAGGCTTAAATTAAAAAATGTATATGAATAAAATATACAAATCTAAACTTACTAATTACTAAACTTGCGAATTACTAAACTTACTAATTACTTAACTTACTAATTACTAAGCTTACTAATTACTAAACTCTCCAATTACTTAACTTACTAATTACTTAACTTATTAATTACCTAACTTACTAATTACTTAACTTACAAATTACTTAACTTGCTAATTACTTAACTTACTAATTACTTAACTTACTAATTACTAAACATACTAATAACTAAACTTACTAATTCTGCCATTTGTCAAGATTTATAACGCCTAATCATCCTTCCATTTCTCGTTTTAAAGCATTAAAACCTATTGCTATATGTTTCTATTTTTCCATCCAACTTTCCAGCCCTTTTTCTGATTTCCGCTAATTTCCCTAAATTGCGAGGTGAATCGTGACAACCACGCTGGACAATAGCCTACCATCTCAGGGTTGTATTTTTGATGAGCGTTTAATTTATTTCGTGAATACTATATTTCTCTACCCGGACAGCTAAAACAATCTTCTTTATAAATTGATCCAGCAATACGTAATTGCGTTCAGAATGAATGCCATAGCGTCTTCTACACGTTTCCTACGTCACGATTGCGTCATCGTTTATTTGAATCAACTAACCAGGTCCGAACTCCAGCTACTGGATTGAAAACCCGATACATTTTGAAAACCCTATTAAGAAACCCGATACATTTTGAAAACCCTATTAGGAAACCCGATACATTTTGAAAACCCTGTTAGAATACCCGTTATATTCTGAAAACCCAGTTAAAAAACCCGATATATTTTTTTCAAAGGCCTAATCCAACATTTCTTTTTTGCCCGCGCAATTTTTTCACGATTGGTACGATCGTTCTCTTCAACATACATGCGCTCGTTAAAGATATTAGCACACTAGTTAAAATCAGTAGGCGTCTCTGCCATTTACCTAAAGATATTACATTTTTATAATTATTTTATAATTTTCACTTACGTTGGGTATTATTATTTTTTTAAAACTAAATTTATTTAAACTTGTAATTTTTGCGTGCAGGGATTGGTGTGCGTGTGGAGACGTGACGTCACAGGGTGGGCGCTGGTGGGGCATCACAGGGGGCACCCCGAGGGATACTTAAATTTAAAAAGCGTAATTGGGTAACGTAGATATTACTAAAAATTTAAAGTATAAGAAGTTTAAGTAAATAAAATCGGTCTAGAGAACTGAAAATTATAGCCGGTTGATTTAAATATAATAGTTTCTTTGGGCGCTGTTTGTTTTTACCGATGACGTCATTGCTTATTCCTGACAGTCAGACTATATATATATATTAAAAAACTAGTGCATAAGTGGTGCTAATGGGCACTAATATGTTAGCAACTAACAACTTGTTTCCTGTTCTAATGGGTTAGATATGTCAACATTTAGAATTTATCTCTGCTGCTAATGTGGTTTAGTATAGGAAACCTCGCTCTTTAGTCACACGTTGTCGGCGAGATATGTTAGAGTATACATACTTCACGCTTGACTGTATGTATAACAATTTTCATTATAGTATATATAGCAGTGACATGTACCTAGGGAGGTATATAATGTAGCAGTGACATGTACCTAGGGAGGTATATAATATAGCAGTGACATGTACCTAGGGAGTATAGCAGTGACATGTACCTAGGGAGGTATATAATATAGCAGTGACATGTACCTAGGGAGGTATACAATATAGCAGTGACATATACCTAAGGGGGTTAAGGTGCTGTGAAGCGTTTGTTGGAGAGTGGACTTAATATCATAAATAGTTACGAGTAAATAGCATTAATATCTTAATTAATTACGAGTTGGTAGCTCCATCAGCCAATCACTGACGGCTCTCCAAGCTAAACCAAGCAATCATAGACGTGCAATCGACCGCTACGTGTTCTTAGGCTGCTGCGTGTACTTAGGCCGCTACGTGTTCTTAGGCCGCAACGTGTTCTTAGGCCGCTACGTATACTTAGGTCGCTACGTGTTCTTAGGCCGCTACGTGTACTTAGACTGCAACTAGCCGTGAGTTTTGGTAATACGGCCATAATTAATAATAATAGCATAATAATTATTTAACATGACAATTATTTACTGTATTTAAGACTGGCAAACGCGGCATTGGAATGTAGGCAAAAGCGAGTCAAATAAAAAATTTCAATGAAATAGACACATTTAAAATAATTTCTAAGAGGTTGTGAAAAGTGAAAAGTGTTATTAAATATACGAGTGAGGGGACTCTACCCCCCCCCCTGACCGGGAACTCGGGAGTGGACAGAGGGGATAGGAACCCCAGATGCGGCGGGACGCGGGGCTCAGGTGAGGGGAGGACATGAGCCCCGGGGGAGGGGGGGGAATGGGTTCGGGTGAATGAAGGAGAGGGGGTGCCTATGAACCCCAGATGTGAGCCGCGGCTCGTTAAGCCCGCGCTGAATTTGCCGACGCGGCGACGTTTCGATGAATTTTAAGCGGCCCCAACAGCCCCCCCAACCCTGCGAC